TGGTGTTAGCCTCTAATGAAGGCAATTTATTTAGAAGGGGGGAGGATTGTCTAGGTTTCCCACTATTTCCCCACTTAATGGTCTTGAGTATTAGTCACCCATAAAATAGGAACTGCTTCTCATCTCTATGAACCTTCTTACATTTTGAGATCATGGGATCACTGATTTGTGAGGTGCAGTAAAACGAATGTCATATGAAAAGAAACAGACCAGGGTCCAGAGATAACAGTGCTATGTAGACTCTCTGTGACCAGTGAAGATTCTGTTTTACAAGATTGTGTCCGTGTTTGGTCAGTAACACTCAGGCAGAAGGTGAATGGAAGAACATTACTTTAAAGGCACTAAAGAACATGCAGAAGGAAAGTATTCTCAGTGCAAAGCCCCCCAAATGGGGGAGAAGTATAGAGTTAGCACAGAGCAGCCAAACATAGCCCATTTTCCATCTATGGACGCCAGGGCTCCTAGCATTTACTGCCATAAAAAGACTGCCAGTGCTAGAAATCTCGAGTTCTCATCCCTTCCTCTTTCTTCTGTCTCCTCTCCCCTCCGATCTCATTTCCTCTCCTCCCTCCACTCTTCTTTTTCTTTTTTTCCTTTTAAGAGCCCATATGACCCTGCCTAAAAACAACAAAAAGGTCTTACAACCAAGCCTACAAATCCAGCATAAGTATTGTTTTAATTCTTTATTTGTAAGACTGGGGGAGAGGTGCATTTGAAAGAAAACAGACTGAACCAGGAAAGATAATTTTGGCTAAGTCGGTTAGCCTTGTCAGGCTACTGAACTACACGCTTGTTAGCTTACTTCCAGCCCTAAAATGGATTGTTCTAACTCTCTTGACTTTTCAACTATATTGCGATCTTTCAGAAGGATAATAGCTGTGTGCCAGCTTGTTACAAATGCTCATGACAAGTCATTATCAATGTTGTCAAAATGCAACAAAATGAAGTTAGATAAATTAATACAAGAAATACTGTAGTTCTGCAAATATCAAAACTAAGTGTTTATACCAAACGTGACTAGATATTCTTGGTCCTTAAGTTGGCATTATTATTCTACTCACTTGAAAAAGACTTTGTGAAAAGAATGGGGGTTGAAGGAACTGAAAATTTTGGGGTTTATCCTTAAGTGCCCAGATTTGTGTAGTTTACTAAACTGCTGTTTCTTCATGGCATTCCTGAGAAAAAAAAGGATTTAAATGCTTTCTTTGCCGCATAAGGACTAAGAAAAGACCTCCTGATCCTTTAGAAGAAATTAGTGAAGTCATTTTTTAAAAGGAAAAAGAGAACATTACAAATCAGCAATCCCTCTCCTGCATATTTGAACTTTACCTACTTACTTCTGTATTACTACTTACTAACTGTATGAAATTATGACTTGTATTCTAAAGTTGCATAAATGTTAGCATGAATACTTATTAAGTGATTGCAAGCTACCATTCATGATTTGGAACTGAAAGGTATTTGTTGTAAAATATGGAACAAATGTTAAATATCTTAAAAGAATAGGTTTATAGTATAGAAATACTTATTAGGAGCATAAAGGAGATGAGGTAAATCCCCAGGAATGTCCAGAATGAACTAATGCACTATGCTAGTAAGAATCAGAGGATCCAAATGAATGTGCATCTAAGGACATTTGATCTTGCTTCTAATGACCTCTTAACTAGTTTCTTACAATTTGATCAGCTTTAGATTTTTCCACTGAAGAAATTTAAAAAGAGAATATTATCCAGTATAGTCAGTTTTCTCTCTTGTTTGTGTATTTCTACAGTGTGCAGACATGAAATCTAACAGGGAAATATTGCTCTCCTTAATCTTTTTTGCAGAATTAAGAGGAAAGTAGAAGTCGATCGGTATTTTAGCAAAAATTGGTATTTTAAGGCAACGTCACCCTGCCTGTTGAAGCCAACATTGCTTTTTTTCTATTGCAAATTTCCAAACCCTGACATACACCAGTGCAATTTTAGACAAAATATCACACAACTGTCATATATTAGAGGATTGCTAAACACATGAGTCTTAGAACGGTAGAGTCACACATTCTAGATGTCATTAGAATATTCTAAAGTCACATATAACATATTTCTCTTATTTTTGACTCAACTTTTGGGTTTCTTACCTCCAGGAGGGATGTAGAAACAATTGAGCTGGGCTTCATGCACCAAAGTGCCCTTAAACTTCACCTCACTGTCCGGAGCCGGGTCACTGGCCAAGGGCTGGTACGCTGGTGTAGCAGGCTGAACAAAGGCTCGAAGCATGGTGACTTCCCAGATGTGCACGAATAGGTCGACTTTTTAAATTAATAAATCTGCTTGTGAGCTTTTTCTCCTTGTGATTGTTTAAAACCTAAAAACCATTCCCACAGCAACCTCCCAACTCAGCGTACAGAAACTTACACAGCCATATCACATCACTGCAAAATTAGGTCACTGTGATTACTTGAAGTTTTAAAATACTAAAACCACACCTCCTTCCTGGTTCTCTTCAACCTTCTCTTTTTCTCTTTCCTGCTGTGCTCACGGCCTACCCAAGAATGGGCCTCTCACCCAGTGACTTTACAGGAAAACTTGGACTGAAATGTGAAGTTAATGGTTTCTGTCAGCCTGTCAGCTCATCACCTCCCGAAGGCACGATGACTCTGGTTTTTATATATCACCACAAGCTGCTCTGATATGCCCTCTTGTGTAGAAGTGATAGGTTTGCTCAGAGGTCTGTAGAACTTGTACTCAAGAAGCAGAAAACTCCAATTGGAATGTGCTCTTCCATGGAATCTACCACCCCTTACCCAGGGGAAAGGGGGCGGGGGTGGGTAGCTCAATTTGCAAAAACTATTTTAGGGAGAAAAAAAATTAGTCCCAGTTCTACATTTTATTTTGGTGCTTTCTTTCAGTAGCCAGGACACTTAGTAAATCTGTTTCTATCCACCATTGCACATTAAGTTTTATGGTCAAACTAAATACTAACTGGCATCAGAGGAGAAGTTTCCAAATGATTCCATTTTAATCTTAAAGGCACGTTACCTTAGAGCTTAATAAATGGGCACTCCTATAGGAATCTTCCCACGGTCTTAACGAAGGCCACAAACCCAGTCTTTCTGCTTTGACATCTGAAAGATGTTTTCAGAGCAGTTTCCCTCCCTAACACTGTATGTCAGTTGTCTCATAGTAATGACATTGTCAAACTGCTTTTCTATTTGTATCAACAGTTTCCTTGGCACCCTCCCCTTATGAAACCTAGTTCCTTATGTCAAATGCCACAAATGTGTAACTTTCCCAAAATGACACCCACAGTACATCTACTAATATATTCTACTGAAGAGAGACAAATGTATCTCCTAATATATTCTTATGCTGAAATTCTTAGACTGTTTTTCTTCCCTGCTACCATCTTTTTCCTTTGATGGTTTGGGAAATTTCAGACTCCAGGGAACGGAAGCTTTTGCTATAACCCCAAAATAAACCAACTCCTTGCTTTGTAACTAAGAATGAAGCCACCAAAACACAAGACATACCCAGATGTATAAAGTGGTTGAATATCAGTGATTGAATCCAATTTTATTTCTAAGAACCTGAGACCAGATGGGTTAATATGCAGGAATCTGTAGGCATTCAGAAGTGGGCTTGCATGTTGGCGGGACTAGAAATTTTGAATACGAAGTTTCCAGATACACATTCAGTGATTTTTAAGATAAAGAAATCTTCTTTTGAATAAAGGCTCTGACAGGCATAGACTTCAGAACTTACATGTTTGTTTTTCGAAAGGTTACGGTTGTTGCTGTATTGAAGACAAATATTTGTATGTATTTCTGAATACATAAGGATAAAGGATAAAACTGTCCTTTTCCCAAAAAGCTGGAGGCTTTTTCTTTTTCTTTTACAATTTTCCCATAACATGTAAGTAAGTAAAATGGAGATTCCTGGGACACTAATCAACAGAATGTTTAAAACCCCACTGTCTTCTAAATTCAGTAAGCTGGTAATTTAGATTTGTAGGGTTCTTTTTTAAAATAGCTGCTCAAGACTTAAAAGCTATCTGCTTTGCCTTTTGATATCTGAATTATTTCTGACAAAAGCAGAAGTTCCAGGTAAAAGCACTGGCCGGATTCATGGGAAAACAGTTTGTGCTGAAAATATCTCAACTGTTTTGATAACCAAATAATACACATATAGTGAAATGTTTAGAAAGTTTAATGTTTCCCTCTTAAAAATATTTTTGTTGGTTTTCAATGCCCTACCATAACATTGCTATTGTTTTCAGTGAAGATTTTAAAAATGTATATGTAGTTAATGTATTATTTATGATAATATCATCAGACCCTCAGCTAGGTGTTTATGAATGTATTTTGGAACTCAAACCTGTGCTACAAAAATGATGTAAATAGGCACATAGTAAAATATACAATTTATTTGAAAATTGTTAAATGAGTTGCTAACAGCTATACTACACCTTTTTTCATTGCTAATGATCAAATCAAAGCCATATCTTTGAACAGTTGTAAATTATCTGTGCAACATTCTGAAGTAAGAGATTTATTGTTAATTTTGTTTTTTCTGATTCTTTTCTAACGTACACACAGCTTACGAAGCCAGTTTTTTAGTTTACATATTCCTGGAAGGAGGAAAAGAAGAGGTGTTTCTGGGCCTTATTTGTGTATTAAGTTTCTGAGTCCTTAAAAAAAAAATGAAATATCTGTATGAAATGTGTAAATGGGACGCAGAAGCAATGATGTTTCAAAGCCAGGGGTTAGAAATTCTGATTTCATTTTTAGTCTTTGGTACGTGTGTTGTGTACAGGTGCCATATTTAAAGGACTACAATAGATAAGACTATAATACATTTTTTTCTGCAGGCTTAAAAAATTCCAGTGCAAGATTTCCAAGCTTTAACTCCAGTGATTGGTTTTGCTTACCTATAAGTATGTATATTCCTTTAAGATAGGAAGGGAATTCCATTTTGTAGTTTTAAAGATGTCCATAATCTGTTTGATGTTTTTTTTTTCAGTGTCCATTTATGGAATTTGGTTTTATGATAAGGAAGAATGCCAAAGAATTGCAGAGCTTATGAAAAAGTAAGTGCTGAAAGACCGAGAACAGTTAGGACCAAAGACTTTGGTTTCTATTCTGAGTATACCTAACTACATTATAATCTTAGCAGACTCTGTCTCTTGCAGTGGTCCTTCTCACCTTGGTTAGGAAAGCATTTACCATCACTTAATACATGAAAAATAGACATAGAAAACTTTTTACATTTTCACTAGGTAAAATCACGTAGAACCGTTCTCCTCTTCTTCCTTTTTTTTTTTGGCTGCATCTATGAAATATCTGTAATATGAATTGTTCTGCATCGATAAATTAGCAGGTATTTTGAAAACTTGTAAATATGTCTAACAGTAAAAAGAACACTCAGTGATTCCTAAAGGTTGCTCTGCTCTAGATTCTCCAAAAATCTTTGGTTTCCTTCTTGACCTAAACAATTTAATAGCATACCCTTGGTTGTAGGGTCCCAGAATTTCCTCACACGTCTCACACACTATGACTACTTAGCATCTTAATTTTCAGTCTCTTTGGAAATATCCAAGTTAATATTTACTTAGTGGTCTATTAGTACTGTCAATCTCTCCTCTGTTTCTTCTTTCCTCTCTTCTTGTTATTAGTCTCTTTCTTTTACGTTCATGATATCTTGATTTGTTCCATTCTTCATTTTGAGACCCTTAAATTACTGTGACTTTCCCACTCTTGACTTCCTTGATTGCATTGAAAGGCAGGTCCAGGTGAGCCGGTTGTCACCCATTGCCTCTGTGCCTGGCCATCTCTTTGATCTTTTCTTGAGCCCCAGGGCTGCTCACTATAAAGCCGTTATTTCCCTGCTATTCTGGGGATGGTTTAGAGCCTCAAATAAAATGAGTTTCCTACATGTGCTGTATCTCAGCCAGAGACTGGACTCAGCAGAGCACATAGTATTGCTGCCCACACAGATTTTACAAAGCAGCACCATCTGCTAAAGAACCATTTTCCAATTTTAAATCCGAGGGCAGTGAAACAACTAAAAAGTGACCCCCCAAAAAATGAAATATGGGCACCACACTTTTATAAATAAGATTGATTTCTGAAAATCTACCTTGTGATAGCTAATTTGAGGTAACTAGCTCAAGTTGCAGGTGGTGATTAAGTGTGTTCAAACTGGTATTTACCATCATAACAACTAGTTCTTAGAACATTCGTGTTATTGTAAACTGTGCAATGGATAATAATAGCAGGATTTCATATAGATAAAAAAAAAAAAAAATCCTGTCGCTCAGCCAAGAGACCATGTTAAAATTGTTAGCATTCTGCAGTAACTACTTAAGAACTGGGGCAGGAAATTGATTGTTCCCTAGTAATAAGCAACTGATTTGCATGGATTCTTTGCCCTTCTTTGGTTAGAATTAAATCTCTTAGTAAATTCTTTAGGCTTTTTTCCATAAATTTCATGGTAATCATCGAAGAATTTGAACTGAAAAGAAAAAATATTGTTCTCAACATCACCTCACCATCTTACAGAAACAATTTGGTCTGTCTTATGTATTGTTTTCAGGACAACAAAAGATGGTCTCCATTGTTATTATTTGTTTTTAATGCTCTGTCTTCTCCAATGGAATCTTTGTTGTGTTTCTAGCCAGAGAACTAGGAGTTGAGTGGCTGGAATCAACTTATTTTGATTTCTAGATACCTTGGAGTGAGAGGCACATTGTCAGTTTCTAAGCTATTTGCTCAATGCTTGAGAACTCTAAATTAGGTTTCCTCAGCAATTAGAATTCTCTCAAATGCTCTACACAAAGCGTTTTTAGGAAAAAGATGAGATCTTTCAGGCTTTGCAAGGCTACAGGGCCTCTGCTGAACTTTGCTATTAGTGTGTGAAAACAGCCACACGTAATACATAAGGAAATGAGTATGATACAGTTGTTGTTTTGCCAAAGCAGGTGCCAGAGTTGGCCCGCAGTAATAGGTGGCCCACCCCTACTCTGATTCATAATGTGCAGTCAAGATACATTCTCAGATTCTCAGGTCTTATTTCTAATACAATTATAGCAGGATAAAAAACAACTTGGTGAGAGTTGGGTAGTTTAAAAAAAAAGCATTTGTGTTGAAATGTTCACTTCTCTTTTTCTAGCCTAACTCAATATGAACAGTTGAAAGCCCATCAGGGAGCTGGAACAGGAATCTCCCCAATGATCCTCAATTCAGGAGAGGGCAAGGAGGTAGATATCTTACGAATGCTCACCAAGGCCAAAGATGAGTACACGAAGGTGAGATTTTGTGGTGCATACTTGAATCCCCCCATGGGTCTGTGTTCATTGAAGCTTTTTTTTTTTTAAAGATTTATTTTTTTTATTTGTACATACAGACCTGGGGTACAGGCCAGAGGCTCAAGGGCGGTGAGAGGCATCACCAGAGACAGAGCAGGGAGCAGAACAGGCAGATCGACGAAGTACACCGCTGAGGGGAGCAGCAGGCGGGTCAGGAGAGGTCTGCCACGCCATGTGGTCACCTCCGGGGCAGGCGGGAATCGAACTCATGCGAAAGTGGCTTTAGCTTCGCAGTGCAGTGCTTTAACCCGTTGCGCCACCAGGGAGGGCCCAAGCAATCATTGAAGCTTTTTAACATTGTGCCATTTAATAAAATTGTATGGAAAACGAAATCCTTATTTGCTTTTTGTAGGCTAATGCATGCTGTTTGCTTTTAAATAGATTAAAAGGTAGTCGCAGACATCAAAAGCCTTCATATATACAAATAGTATCCAGTCAGGTTTACTGGAAGACCCCAACTATATAGTAGCAACATGTTACTATGAAATTCTTTGGAATAAAATAAGAAAGGAGCAAAACCTATTATGAAGAAAACTTTTTAAATATGGGAAAGATAGACAAAATATAGAGGAAATATATTTCCTGATTGTATATAAGAAGATAGAACTAAAGTTGTAGTTTCTCTTTAAATTAATCTATAAAAGGACAACAATTCCTGAACAAATGCGAGCTGGTTTCTTTTCTGGAGCCCATCGGGTTGATTATAAGACTCATGCAGAAAAATATACAAGGAAGATTATCTGGGAAAACCTGGCAGAGAAAACCCAAAGCCCTATTAAGTGGGCGGAAGAGAAGAGGTAGCACTACTGACTCGATAGTAAGACGTAGTGTCCAGACACTTGACATAGTATGGCATTGATAATATTGGCGTACAGTCAGTTAGACCAGTGGAACAGTGAGAAAGTCTTCAAATGAGACCTCAGCATCTGTGAGATTTAAGGTATAATAAGGATGAAAATTTCAAACCTGTTATTTGCATGAATTTTTTAACTAAATGATGTTAGGACAATTGGCAGCCATTTGGAAAAATATAAAATTGAATCTGTCCCTCGCACCATATACCAGGATAAATTCCAAATGTACTAGAAATTTAAATGTAAAAATAAGACCTTTCAAGTACTGGAAGAAAACTTGCATAGATTTTTTTTCTTTTTTGTAATTCTGAAAAAAGGAAAGCTTCCTAACTATATCTCAAGACACAAAAGCAACTAATTCAACTACGTAAAAATTAAAAATAAATTTTTCACATGGTTAAAAAAGTGAAAGTAAAAAGAATATAAAAAAACTGAGAAGAAATACGTATAACTAAAGAATAGCAATGTAACCGAAGCGTATCTAGGGACCCCAAAATGTTAAGGGGATTTGGTCATCCATGAGCACCAAGGAAGCATACACATAGTGTAATAGACTTTTAAATAGAATTAGAGTACATAGAGAAGTAAAGAAAGGATATTCCTAATAAAACTGAAAATTACCCAACCCCTAAAAGCAAATGCCCAGGCAGACAGACTTGGCTTGAATTGGGGCCATCATGATTTCAAGACCTGAAAGCATGTCACAACTCTAAAGTACCTTCTGGCAGGAAACTTCAAGAAAGGGTCTAGCCAGGCCCGAGAGAGCTGGGACAGGAAGAGAAGCACCTGCCATTGTGTCTGCCGAGGACCGGGAGCAGCAGCCTGTGTCTTCCAGGTGTTCCTTCCATGTCTCCCCTCCACGTGTCACCCTCAAGTCTGGCTGCAAAAATGAGAGAGAGGGGCCAGCAAGAGTACCTCCCTACCGTCTGTGTTGTATAGGCCCACTAGTAGACTTTTACTTGAGATGTAAGAAAACAATGAAATCAACAAAGCTCAGCAAGGAAGAAAACCAGGGCCACACATGCTCTATCATACGCATAACTGGGTATTCAGAAGTAGACTATTGGGTGTGCAAAAATCAAACTAAAATGTTTCTGTTCCGCAAAGGTAATTAGCAACAAAATGAGAAAACAACCTACTGAGTGGAACAGAGTATTTCCAAATCATATATCTGATAAGTGGTTCATATCCAAAACTTTTTTAAATCCTATTAAAATGTAGGCAGAAGATTGAGTAGATATTTTTACAAAGAAGGCATTCAGCTGGCTCACAGGCATGTTCAACCTCGCTTCTCATAAGAGAAAGGAAAATCCAAGAGAGGGAGGAAACTATGGCACTGTGCGTGGGCAGGGGCAACCATCTTGGAGAATAGTCTGGACTTCCTTGAAAAAATGAAAAATGGAAAAGCATACAACCCAGCAATTCCACTCTCAGCATCTGTCAAAGAATATGAACTAATGATGCAAAAATTCTGAGTTCTACAGAGTTCACAGCAGCATTATGTACAGTAACAGGGATACGGAAGAGGCTAAATGTCCACCAGTGGACAACGGGCTCAAACTGCGGTATTTCCACACTGGCTACTGGGCAGTCATAAGGAAGGATGAGGTGCAGTCGTTTATGTACAGGAAAGCAAATCAGAAAATCAAGAACAAATACTGGACATTTAGTAGACAATTTGATGAAGTAAAATCCTTTAAAAAACTAGGAGATATTCATAAACCCTGTGAGGGTTCTGAGGCTTAGCAAGGAGGAGAAGGGACAGAGGGTGTAAGAATGATGGCGGTGGGGAAAAAATACCACAACGAGATATGTCTTCACACCTATGAGAATGACTTATCAAAAAGGAAGAAATAGCAAGTGTCAGTGTGGATGCGAAAAAAGAGAATTCCTGTGTGCTGTTGGTAGAAATGTAAATTGGTGCAGCCGCTATGGAAAACAGTATGGATGTTCCCTAAAAAATTATAAATAGAACCACCATATGATCCAGCAATTTCACTTCTGGGTACTTATCCAAAGAAAATTAAAATGCTAACTCCAAAAGTTATGTGTGCTATCCCATTCACGGCAGCCTTACCGACCATAGCCAGAGGTAGGCACAACCTGAGTGTCAGACAAAGGCCCCGTGGGGACAGAGGAGAGGTGTGTACATGCATGTATATGTACATGTGTACATGTGTATGTGCAGTTGTACGTGTGTGTGTTCATACACACAAGGGGGGTATTTATTATGGGGGGTATTTATTATTCAGCCATAAGAAAGGAGATGTTGCTACTTGCAGCAACAACATGGATGGACCTTGATGACATTATGCGGAGTGAAGTCAGGCAAAGACAAATAGCTTTGATCATCTTACTCATATGTAGAATCTAAGAAAAACAAAAACCCAAACTAGTAGATACAGGGAACAAATTGGAGCTGGGCAGAGGCACGAGAGGGGGGTGCATGAGGACAAAATGGGTGATGACGGTCAAAAGAGTCAACTCAGGTCTCAAAGGTGTTAGTGTTACTCAAGGATTAATAGTTCTCTTCATTAGCTGTGACTTACTTATAAGATTAAAGAGCTTAAGTCTCTTTTGATGGCCAGTGAAAGAATCAAAAAAAAAAGTATAAAAAAGAACCTAAAAATTAGCCTTAATCTTATAACCCAAATACGTCTGCTTTTAAACTTTCAATGTGTTTCTTTCAGACTGGCGTAGATAAAATAGGATTGTGTGACATAGTTTTTGAGGTTTCAAAGGAGTACCTCGGGTTCTCTATGAAGACTCCATTAGTACTCCCAAACAAGCTTTTTTCCCCTCAAATATTTTAAAGTTATCTGGGTTGGGAGAAGCATAAAAAATTAAACAACTGGAAAATGAGCTACAAACCATTGAGGTAGATGATGCCTAATTGTGAGCAATTTGATAGCAATTTTTACATAAAAGCAAGGCTGTATAGTTAGATAATTGTAGTGAAGTAGGAAACAGCTTCTAGCAATTTTACTTAGAAAAGGTAATCTGGGGATTATGCGTATCAGGAGAGTGGCCTTTGGCCCATTATGTACATAGCAAAGATGGGAAAAATTCATTTTTCTTTACTTGAAATTCAAGGTCCCTGAATGTGGAGAATGAAGAAGTACAAAGGGGTCATTCAGTGAAAGTAAGCTTAAGCACCCAGTTTCTTTTAAATAGCAGACAAATTAAAGGCTTTTCATGTTAAAATGTTACAAGTGACTGTCAGTCCTAGGCTATAATCTCTTGCATCGGTTGTCCATGTCTCGGAAAGCCAGGCCAGTGGGTTCAAGCAGCCATGCCATTAGCCACCACTGTTTAGCTACGAAGAATTAGAAATAACATTGTATGACTCATAAAGTGATTTCACACCCCACCTATTACTAGTGCCAAACATCCCAATTATCAGAATGAAGGAGGAAAGTCATTCGTCTTTTGTATGGTTAACTTTACAAATCTGTGAACATGGTGGTAATAGAACCACCTCTCAATAACTTAACACCCATTGGGGAGCTTAGCTCCTGGGGAGGCAAGATTGTGTTAATAGCTCAGTCCATGAAGTCGAGGACAGCGTGAAATACTTTCTGGCCTGTGCTCTTGACTGTACAGTTGAAACTCACAGTGGTAGAGTCTTAGTACAAAAGGTAGTATTTTCGTATTCAGTTTTACTTAATATTTAACAAGGTAGACACCAACGTCATTGCTGTGCTTCTTGTTACGAATCCTACTGTGTTAGCAATTGCACGGTTGGTTAGATTAATGTGCGATGATGATTCAGCATTTGAAATGATGAGGATCGTGTCTTGGTTTTTTTCTCTGTGAAATTCTAATTTGTAGTGAGTGGTTCTGAACACTCAGATTCGAATTGTTCTGTTTATGGAAAAAGGCATTTATTAAATAAAGATGATATTAGCAATTTTTAAATCAGTGGTTTGAGCCAGTTTTGCATTTTGATTTGTAGACCAAGAAGGTTTAGTTGCTCTGCTGGTGCAGCTGTCCAATTTTACGTCAGTGGCTAGTGGGGAAATGGCCATTATAGTTCAGACTTGTTACTTAAGGAACAGTTTATGTAGTTGTTGGTCACTGAAAAGCATTAGGCTGTATTTTTGAATTATTGCTCCTTAAGCATATCGATAGCTTTCGTACCAAACTAAGTTCCTATGTCCTGATGTTGTCAGTAGTATCTGAGGGCTCTGAGTTGTGCCTACATTAATTTAACTTAAGAAAATTAAAATTAGAGTTTCTTTACACTTAAATATAGCTCACATCAGAGGAAATTGAGGGATTTTCCTTTGCACATGAAAATATCAGAAAAAGAAAAAGCCAACTACAGTTAGATAAAATAAAGAGCAAACAGGTACATTCCTATAAGAAGGTGAAGGATTCTTTTACATCAAAAATGAGGTCCTTTGTTTTTTAATTTCAGTGTAAAGCCTGTTCTGAGCCAAAACAGATAACCAGTTCATCTGCCATCTATGACAACCCCAATCTCATCAAACCAATTCCAGTGAAGCCCAGTGAAAACCAGCAACAGCGTATACCTTGGCCTAACCAGGTACAAAATGATCTGCTTTCAATTGCACTCTCTAATGGGACTCTCAAAGAACTCCTACCCAGTGGGTAGGCGAGGGAGAGCCTGGCACTGTTCAAGAAAGCTGTAAGATCCAATGAACAGTGATGTAAGATGTATATAAGTAAATAAACTGTATTGAAAAAAAACAGAATGCCTTAAGATAAATCCGAAAAAGAGAGATTTCAAATGGGGGGAGGGGTTGTTATTGTTAATAATTCACTCTTCTAAAAAGATACTAAAGTTTTTACTTCTGACCTTTACCACACTCTGTGCTATTCGCTTGTGGACTTGAACACTCCTTAGAGGATAATGCATTTTTGAAAAACAACAAACTAATAGAATTGTCACCAGGAAAAAGAACATTACCAGTCAGGCCCCATTTGTCTGAGGGGTTAGTTGGTTTCCCAAGGCTGTGGAGAGCAGGACATCCAAGCCAGTGAGACGTGGCTCACATTTCCGGTGCCGCCTCCATCCCAAGGACACCGCTCGGCACTGTGTAGAATGGGGCTCCTGTTCTAAGGGGTGGTGTGGACTTCCATTCCCCCTTGGACCTGATGGTGAATCATTGTATTTGCAATCATTGTCTTTGCAATCTAAAATAAAAATATGACAGCAGTTTTGTGTGAGTGTATATTACTCCAACTAGTATAACATAAACAAAATTGCTAATCTGCTGATATCATTATTTATTATAAATGTGGCTGTTTCCATTTCTTATGGTTATTCCTCATTTAAGTGGTTTTTTTTTGTTTGTTTGTTTAAGGGAAGGTTCAAATCAATTTTGAAAATGCACATGGACCCAAAAGACATAAAGACTAGCTAATAAAAGTCTCGTGTTGAGTTTCTGGTTTTTTTTTTTTAAGTGAGCTTTTTCCCAGTTATCTTAGCTTCTTTTATTGTTTGCTTTCCACAGGAATTTTTAAATTTTAATGATAACCAAAATAGTTAACTTTAGGAATAAAAGTCATGTCTTCATAGCCCAGCAGTGCAGAAAGCAGCAGGAAGAGGTATGACATGACGTTCTCGAGTGGGAAGGAAGTAGCTCTGTAATGGACTGGCCCAAAGTAGATTTTATGTATCTGATGATTCTGTTAAGCTACTGGTATATAGTTGAAAACATCAAGTTATTTTAAATGACCTATGCGCTTTTTAGCCCCAAATTTCTGTAATTCTGTGAACAACTGCCAGGAATTCTGAAATCCTCGTGTTAATTGCTTATTTTCAGTCTTTCTTTCTTTGTATTCTGTTGGGTTATGTGGACTTCCAGTTCAAGAGGTCATTTACCTTTTAATATATTCAATTTTGAGTCTGTGACTCCCAAGCCCCTCAGAGATGATAAGCCTGTTTTATCTGACTTGCAGGACTGAGAGGCAGTGGTAGGAGAAAGTGCTGTGAAAATTTTAACATTAATAAGGAGTCTCACGAGGAAGGAAAGGAGATCGGTACTGTACCAGGGCTGGGCGGAGGGTGAACAGAACATGTGCACTGATGGAAGAGGACAAACACCCAAATTAAAATCATAATTTAAAACAAGAGGAAAACAACAAGTTTCAAATTTGCAAAGTTTATTATAACTAAGTTTTTGCATCTTCTCAAATTGGTCCTTTGTAAATAGTAGAAATCCCTGACCAGCTAAGTTGTGTCTCATCACCTCCCCCTCCCCATACCACTAAACTGTTTGTAGACCCATTTTCAGACATTTTTATTTTTTCCAGACCTTTGACCTTGAACCCCAACACTTGTCCTTGACAGCTCTCTTTGGGAAACAGGACAAAGCTACATGTCAGGAAGTTGGGGAGCACCCACAGGTTCTCCACCGGCACCACCACCACCACCATCACCACCATCACCACCAGCAGCAGCAGCAGCAAGAGAAGCTTCCAGTTCGGCAGGGGGTTGTCCGCTCCCTGTGCTATGAGGAACCCAGGAGGCACTCGCCCCCCATTGAGAAGCAGCTCTGCCCAGCCATTCAGAAACTCATGGTCAGGGGTGCAGACCTCCACCCATTGTCTGAGCTGCCTGAGACCCGGCCCTGCCAAAACGGGAACCCCCATTTTGTCGGGGAAGTTTTCATTGGGCCTGGCCAGCTGGGGTCCCCCCATGGCATTGGAACATCTCATCATGTGCAGAGCACAGCCAGGACTCAGAACCTGCTAGAGAAGCTCCCTGATGCCCCCGGGGCAGCAAATAAGTACCACCCCAGTACATCAGCCCCTGACTGCCCAGCTACCCCAAGCTTCAGCAGAACCCTCTCTGCTGCCACCCCCGCAGCTGCAGGAAGGGGGAGGGGGCTGACTCAGCCCCAACTGGGGTATTTCAATGGCTCCTTCCCACCACCAACACTGGATCATCAGCTTCGTGGAAAAGACCAAGCCACGCTTCCACGACAGACACTCCACCTCTCTGGCCATCAGACTCGGGGCTCTGGAGTGATCTCCCCTCAAGAGTTACTGAAAAAACTTCAGGTCGTGCAGCAAGAACAGCAGCTGCACGCGGCTAATCGACCAGCTTTGGCAGCTAAGTTTCCTGTGGTCACACAGACCTCTCGACCAGGGAAACCCTTGGAATCCTGGATCGACAAGACTTCCAGCACAGAGACGCAGGCGCCTCTTTTTCAGGTAAACTACAAGGCCAAAAAAAAGTAATGACGAAAAAAAAAAAAAGTAATGGTGAAATTTAGAATCTGTTTTTCAGCTCTCAGGACATTCTGTTTAGAACAGGGACCATGTTTGTGCATCTCAGCTTCCTGCCTGGAAGGAGAATCCTCCTTTGCCTAGCAATCTGGAAGCGTTCCTTCTTTAAGAGATACCTTATTTGTGGAGCGCAGTCTTCCAGTGTTGACGACATAGACGTAGGAAAACCCATAGAGGTGGGACGTTTCCCACGAGCTTTGTGGAAACATACAGTCTGCTTTGAACTCGTTCTGTGATGCCAAACACCTGGCCTCTCCCTGTTATTTTGACCCACAGCAAATGATTGTGTTTTAATTCAGTATTTCTGAGCGCCTACGACATGCTGGACATGGTGCTCCACATGGGTACAGAGAGATGATAGGCCAGACCCCTGCCTCAAGAGCCGCAGCCCTCGAGTCCACAGTAAGGCCTGCCTCTTCTCCAAGCCACACCTATGCTAGTTTATCTCTTGTCACCAGCAGCATTGATGAAGTTCAAGAGAGTCTGCTACCTACCAACTGCACACATTTCCAGAGAGGGGAAAGACTGATTTTTAGAAAAGCCCTATCCTTAAAGGAAGGTGGTTCTCTGTGTTCATCAATAACGGAACAGTGACAAAACCACAAGCTTTCTCATAGCTGTGGGTAACATCTGGACATCTGACTGCTTCACCCCACCCGCACCCCCCCAATTTGGATGGAAACAAACTCCTGAAAATGCAGTGGCTTTAACAGTTAGAAAGGGCTCCTTATTTATTTGCATGTGCATCACCACTGGTCCTCATGTCATGCTTTGGCTAATAGCTTACATCTCAAAAGTCTTCCACTTTTTAGAAAACAAAAATCACAGACATACTGCTCTGTGAGTCGCTGAGTCACACTGTTCTCATTGTGCGTTAGAATCTCAAACCCAAGCGCCTCTTGCTAGAGACAGTGTTACTGGCCCTCGTCCTCATTCCCGTGTAATCAAGTCCACTCTGTTTTCCATCTCCCTTTTTGCCTCTTAACCAGTGGGACGCTAGGGCACCGAGGGGAATCGATTGCCCTAAAGTGTGTGCCCCGTTCTCTGCTTTTCCCGGGGAGAAGCGCACATTCGCAGCCCACACAGAACCTCCTGACAGCGGCGGGCCTCCTTGGGGAGCACCCGTTCTGGCGTTCTCCTCAAAATAGCAAACAGGGCAGTTCAGAGAAACAAACAACCTGCTTTCCTCAAGGCTCATTTCTGCCCAAAAACATACCAAGGGAGTGATTATAAAATTACAGCAGCTTCTCGATTGCTCATGGGTTCTTTTCTAGCATTAGGAGGCTGATAAATAACACTCTTCTTTTTCAGAACCAGAGAGAGAGCCGTAGGAGCCAGTCAGATAGGAATCAAAATGGCGCTTGTGTCACTGGGAAAGCTTGTTTTAGGGCCTGTTAGCAAGTGAGTTAGGCCGACTTGCCCAGAAAAGGCAGTCAGCAGCAGAGCTGGCAGGGTCTACCCTTGGGGTCCTGCCCAGGGCACAGAGAAGCAAAGTGTGAGCTCCCCCTGTTAGGAAAAAGGGGCCCAGGAAAAGCAAAGCCCACAATTATGCCTCCCTCTGAGTAGGAGTGAATGAGGCCAGGAGGGTTGCTCCTAGCGATTCCTCCCGGAGGAATCAGGGGCAGCGCGTGGGTGCCCCCAGGAAGTGCAACGGCTCACCCACCCTGGGTGTGGGCCACGAGGCCAGAACGGTTGGACAAGGAGACCTGAGAAGAAGCTAGCCGGTCCAGTGCAGGCTGCGAGCAAGGCAGCAGCCGGCAACAAGGTGCTCGCCAGAGGCCTAGCTCTAGGCCCAGGTGGACCATATTCACCAGAGCGGACAGACGGTGCCGAGCTGTGTGGTAGCGGGGGCGTTGTGCACTATTACTGCTTAGACTCGATGGGCAGCGAAGGGCCTCTGTGTCGCTGTCGCGTCCATGTCATGGAGAAGCTCCTTAACCCCGCCCCTGTGTGTGTTTCTGCAAGCAGGCCGTCTCACCTCAGCGCATCCCTGCTCTGGGGGCGCCTTCTCTGCTCATGTCCCCCATGGTGTTCACACACCCTGCCTCCGTCTCACCAAAGGAGAGGGACAGTGGGCTCTTGTCCCTGGGAAGCCACGAACCAGCCGCTGCCTCCACCAGCCTCCTCCTGCCTCTGCAGAGCCCAGAGCCCGCCGGGACCGCCAGCAGCTCGCTCACTAAGCTGCAGCTTCAGGAGGCCCTGCTGTACCTCATTCGGGTAAGAGCTGAGCTCTCTCCGGCCTTTACCAGTTCTGCTCACCTCTTGGTTGCCTCTGGGGGCTAAAGACCCACTTAGCTGATGCCTTCTTGAGAATAAGTGGACTGTGCAGTCACGCCTCCTGCACCCAGGGCCTCTGCCCTCTGCGGGACACTAACTGGCCACGGGAGTCTCTGTTCCTTCCGGATTTTGAAATCTGGAGGACTGACACCATTCTCTGAAAAGAAGGAAGCATGCATTAGAGATTCAGGCAGCCTCCAGAAGCTTCCAGGTACTGGGGCACCCAGACAGAGCGCTCCCTGCTGACATGGAGAAGAGCCAGCTGGGCAAGTGGGTTTAGTGGAAAGGGCAAAGGCCGAGCGTGTTGCGTGAGGAGGGAACAGGCTGTGATGGCTGTGACGGGACTTGTTTCACAAACACTGTTGAGACCTGCTCATTAGGACAGGAGGAGACGGTGGGATTTTTGGCAGGCATGCCTCTCACTGCCTCTGCGAATAATGTCAGAGCTCTGTGACAGGCAGATTTAAATGATTTCCATATAGTCCCTCATGTCATCCTCAGACATCAGCCCTCTTACTTTTTCTCTTTTAGAGACAAGGACATGGTAGCCTGGGGACCCTCCTGAGGTCGCACAGCTAGTGGGCCGCAGCGCGGGGTGTGACCATAGGCTGGCCCCAGAGTGCTCCGCAGGCTGCTCACAGTGACTGGAACGTTGTTGCACGGGGCCCACTCAGCAAAGCACACCCCAAATAATCATAGACTGTTATCTAGGTAATTTCAGACACCCCAGCTAGTTAGTGTTTTGAATAAAGAAAATCTCTGGTAGTTTGCTCAAGCGTCAGTGGCTTTCAGAGAAGAAAGTACACCTTTGCAGCTGCCGCTCCCTGAACAGTGGTCTGTACTAGGAAAGACAAGTTGTAAAGGCAACATGTTTCTCTTTCATTTAGAGAAATGAGAGTGGGGGTGGAAACCGGCGTGTGAGCGTGAGAGCAGAAACAGCTGTAAAGCGCTGCCGTAGGCGGCTGGGCCTTGTTAGCTCACAGAGAGATGTGCCCACCTTTGCGAGCCCCTCATGGAAGCTTCCTGAAGATTTATGTAAGACACCAGGAAACTTCTTTTCTGGGAGCATTAAGGAAAAATCTTAAATTTGCATTTAAAAGTTCCATATTTCTGCTGGCTCTTTCCACTCCGCTCACTTTGCCCTGAGGTTCTGTGTGGGAGCCAGGACACCCCAAGCCTAAGGCCCTGTGCATTGCTAGTTGGAGCCACGTTTCTGTCCCCACCACCTGTGCGTGTGCTTTATTCCAGTCGGTGGGCTTCATCTTCCTGATGGGCTGTCGGAGGTCACGCCCGCCATCTGTGGCAGTTGTGGCCTGTGGGACTCTGGCTACTTTGTAGGGAAAGCAGGGAAACGTTCTTTTTCACGGTGGGGGAATAAATGCTAGTTCTGTGTGTGGAGTGCCAAGAGGGAGTGAAGGGGAACTGTGAAATGTGGGTGAATTGCTAAAGCTTTAAGGGATTTGGATGGGAGGGAGAAGGCTCTAGAATTTTAAATGAAGCACTGAGTAGACCACGTGCTTCTCCCTCAGCCCTTAGCCAGGCAGAAGAGCCCAGAGATTACCAGCCTGCTGCTGCCCACTTACCAAGGCCCCAAATGCCCCGTAACTAACAGGTGTTCACCGACTAAGCTGAGGTCCCGGTGAGGCACGCTGCAAGTAAACGGAGGAAGATCAGAAACACGGTGTGGCGTGAGAGCCGTTACTTGGGGAGTTGCTGGTTTGGGTCATTGTCTCCCAATCCTGCCTTCTGTTTGGGGTGCCTTTTTCATGCAGAAAACCCTGTCTTGTCCTGGACAAACCTTGTTCCAGACCGCTACAAGGCTGGGATGCCCCTCCGTGCTGCGTGTGACAGGCGTGTCACAGCTGTGGAAAACCAGGAGTGGACTCTCTGTGGCCCCATTTCACCCCATTTTCACCACAGGCAGCTGTGAGCACATACAGGTGCAGGTCAGGGCTCGGGCGAGAGTTCAGGCCAGGTCAGCGCCGAGACAGGGAGGCCTTTTGTTTCCGCCAATCCCATCACATTTTTGGTCTCTTGGTTTTGTTTTCCAGAACGACGACAACTTCTTAAATATAATCTATGAAGCCTATCTCTTCAGCATGACACAAGCAGCCATGAAAAAGACTAGGTGAAACATTTTAAGGCCCCCCAGCCTCAAGGTTCTTTCATGCCACACGGTGTTCCCGAGAATGTTTCTGCCTTTTAATAAAGTATGTGTCATATCGAGTGTTTCAGGTTTTTTTTTTTTTATCACATCCTTCACTACACCTGGTACTAGAATTGAATGAGCAGAAGACCTTTATTCATATCACACCGTAAATGCCAAACTTAAACCATTTTTGTTCCTTGGACCTTGGGGGCCATTCTAGAGCTAGCCTCTCCCTGGAAAGGGCCCCCTGGCACCCTGTCCTCTCCCGGCCAGGACCTCGGTGCACAGCTCACGCCGACCACCAGGTGGCAGTGTCACCACACACACGCCAACCCACACAGCCCTTGCAGAGCCTCTGGAAATAATGAGGCTTTTCTGTTACCAAAGTAAACCTTTCATTTGTAAAAATCCAGTTGGCTTGTTTTCCCCCGGTCTTTGAAGGGAAATTATTTCCAAGGGTATTTATAGCTAGTTTCTAGAGGATAGTTGTTCTAGGAGTCCACCAATGACCCAGATTTCAGTAACACTTCATTTATCCCAGCCCATGATATTTCTTTTGGACTCACCCGGCAGAATAGGCCTGCCTCGGCTTCCAAATGAACATTTGATCATTTTTAGCAAAACATGCTGAGAGGAAAGTCACAGCAGATTTTAAAGCATTTTCGTAGCCTCTAAGGACAGGGAGTGGATTGTTCGGGGATATGATGATAAGGATTCTTCAAGCGACGTGGCAGATTGATTTTTATGTTCACAGAGATGAGGAGCTTAATCTTGGAAGGAGTCAGAAGAGCCCTTGCCAAGCTGTTAGGACCTGAAAGAGTCTGCATAGGAATTAGTCCCTGCTGAGCGTCAGTAATAAATAAAGCTTTGCATTTCTATAGCCCTTTTTATTCCTGGATCATAAAAAGATCTCTAGATTACTGTGCGCAAGACAGGTTTTCTTCTCATTTTATAGGTCAAGAAAGGAAGCCTGGACTTGGATGTTAAGTCTAGCCCTTATCCAGCACACCACCCAGCCAAGTGTTTATCAGAATTCCAGCTCCCCGACTTTCCTGCAGAAGTGTGCTTTTTATTTTAAGGAGACAAGGTGGGTGGAAAAGGAACTGATTTTTACTGAACCCTTGTTATGTGCCATACTTAGGCTAAGGAGTGTAGTGTTACCCTCCTATATTTAGGAAGGGACAACTTCTGTCTCTTTGGTATCTCCTACATCTGAAACAGCGATCAACCCATGTGATATTCTAAGAAAATGCTGGAGATGAAAAACTGGGTAGAATATCTAGATTCTCTTATAAGAAAATGAGACAAGGAGAAAGATACACATGGCTCTGTTATCCCCAAATCCATGCTTGTGCACATTTCAGCAACACATACTAAAATGGGAACAAAATCAGTGATACACCTAACTGCTGGCCAACCTTTTTAAAAATCTCTTTGATCATAATTATATGTTTGCAGTTGCTTCTCTAGCAAGGGAGAACTGAATACCATTTTAAGTGTTTCTAGTATATCTGTGGTAGCAAATGGCTAATTTCAAGAAATGTTTTTCTATCCTTCAGCATTGAATAAGTAAAAGAATGATCCACTGTAGCTCCAGAGGTGGAGAGAGGTCCGTGCGTGGGTGTCAGAAACACGGACCGCAGTCCATTGTGGCCAGCTTGGCACTGCAGGCATCACTCAGACTTTTTTAGGCCAACGCCACAGTGATCTGTTTTGAAAATCATAAATTCTCCATCCTTTACTGCAAAGAATGACTTTAAAAGTCACAGGTCCAAGTAATTCATTTAGACCAAAGACTTGAGTTTCCCTTTTAAGGACATGGGGTGAGGGTGTGCTTAGTTCTAATAACTGGCAAAGCAGATGAGATGGTCTTTGCAGAAAGAGCTTTCTCAAGAGAGTCCAAAAAATAAAGGGTTATCTAAGGCACCGCAATTTATATTTTTTAAATATGCATACAGAGTTTGGGGGTGAGAGGATTCACCAGAGACAGAGTAGGGAGCAGAGCAGACAGATCTACTGAAATACATTGCTGAGGGGAGCAGCGGGCGAGACAGGAGAGGTCTGCTGCACCATCTGGGTCACCCCCACAGGCTGGGTAAAGAACTTGTGCGAAGCAGCTGCAGCAGCTTCCTAGTGCTGCGTTTTAATCCATTGAGCCACCAGGGAGCCCCCCTCCCCATTTATATTTTACATAGAAATTAGCTTTTCTTTTTCCTACTCCCCTCCCAAAGGCTAAAACCATCACAGACACCACACAGACACTGTCTAGTGTCACCAGTTCCCGGACAGCAAACTGAACTTCAGTTGGATTCTGCACACGTTCCTAAGCAGCGGGATCCAGCGAGATGGATTTCACCTGTGGAAGTTACGCAGTCGCTTCTGCCTCAGCCTCGGGACCGAGTGCATAGTCTGTCAGACTCGCCTTCAGCTCCTGGACAAGTGAACTTCTCTGAGACACTGGGTTTTCATTCCTAACATGAAAATAATACCCACCTCACAGGGTCCCGATGAGGATTAATGAGGAGCTACAGACACAGAATGCCCCTGGCCACACCCCGCCACGCGCCCTGCAAGTCCATGTTCCTCCCCCCTCTCTGTGCGGAGGCCCTCCTCTCAGTGGGGTGAGGCCGCAGCTGCTGGAGCTTGCCACTCACGTAGAACTAAGAGTGAAGGCCGAGCCTGACACATACCTGGCCCTCTGCTGTCACCTTCTCCCCTTCATTCCTTCACCAATAAAGCGAAAGCAAGAACGCTTACTCCTTCCTTCCGAAGGGAGTGTGGTGAGCCCATGCATGAAGGGGTCAGCCCACGTAACAGTGTTGTTCCGGCCCCGGCTTTTGGGGTAAAGCACTGTTGCAGAGGCAGAGGAGCTGCCTTGTGGACGTACAGGCCCTGGACTTCCTTCTGAAAAGACACACGGCCCAGTGCCCCCCGCAGAGGGAGAGCTCCCTGGAAAGCCCGCCCAGCCTGGCCCCCCCAGCGAGGCCCAGGGCAAAGCCCCGGGCGACACTTCTCAGGGAGACACAGGCTGACAGCTGGTGCGTCCATCTTCCCTCCAAGTCAGCCCATCAGGCCTCTCTCATGCCCGGGGCTGACTGATGGGGCTGTGCTCTCTCCTCTTGGATGAGAAAGCACAGGTCAAAGAAGAAAACCGCTCCTCTTAAAGAAATTGGCAACCGCATTCTAACTATGGGGTGCCATGAACCCCCTCCACCCCTTACCTGTTAAGAGGAACCCTACAGTGGGCACATGGGAAGGCCTGTGCCCCCGAACGTGTGCTATCAAGGATGGGGGTGTCACCTCAAAGACCTGGTGCCTGAGTGCCAGGCCTCACCTGCTTCACCCATGGTCAGTGCAGATGCAGCAAAGGGGAGGGGCTGCACCGTGGGGGTGGGGTGGGGGGTGGGGTGCAGGCTGCCACGTGGGGACTGAGGCCTCCAGGCGTCCAGGACTGGCTGCTCGCTCCTCCTAGCCGTGGGAAGCTTTCCCCGCCAAGCAGTTCAGCAGGCATGTGCCTCCTTTATTTTCAAAGGAGTCATCTGCCTCCAGGCTTGGAGCCATTTTGAGGTTAAATTTATCATTCGCTGCCAGCAGGTTGTAGCAACACTTCCCCATGTAAAGTTGCCCGGCTGCGCAGATTGGTGGGTCTCCCCAACATTTTTGCTCTCGGGTTTCGAGCCTTGGTGTCCCCTCCCTCTTACAACGAAGGGCGCGCAAGAGGTGGTTACAAATACTTGATATATTTAACTCAACCTTGAGTTTCTAGATAGATTTTTCACCAAATTGAGTTATGAGTAATGCCTTCCAACAGCTTCAAGTTGAGAAAAGTACACAAATAAAAACTGCGTGTGCAGATTGTGGCCTTAAAATGTCAGGGGGAGGCTGAGAGCTGAGAGCTATTGATAACATTCCCAGGGGCCCGGGCCACTCCCCGGCCTGGGGCTCTGTCTGGGGCTCCCTCGACCAGCAGAGTGCTTGAGCCTGAGGTTTTCTTCCATGAGCTAACTCAAGGGCCCAGCAGGGAGGCAGCAAAGAATGTTCTAAAGAGGCAAAAGAAAGAACTTCCCTCAACACTGAGGCCAAGATAAGGCGACAAGTGTGGAGGCGGAAGTCAGGGCGCCACACTGGCTGAGGCCAAGACAGGTGAGGGGAGCCCCTGCAGGGCTGGGAGACAAGAGTGGCTCTGGCTCGTGGGTGGGCCCACCAGGGCAGCTGCCTCTCCCTGGGAGGCAGAACCCACTGGAAGGAAGTGCAGCTCCTCTGAGAGCTTCCTTCTACTGCCACCGCCTGAGGGAGTCTGGCAGCCTCACCTCAGCACAGGTAGAGGCAACAGCATCAGAACACCAAGGTGCAGCCCCAGCGCCCAGGTCACGGAGCTCCTGAACCCCAACCCAGTGCAAAGACCAGGAGCTTAGAGGCAAAAAGATTGGATTCTCCCACCTCCTGGCCCTTCCCCAGCCCATTGATAGTGCTGTCGTAAATCTGCCCAGAATTCTTTCAGACGCCTTTATGTTTCTGCCGGTAGCGACGTGCAGGGTTATAGTGCCTTCATCGTGTTCCCTACTGTGGCCACAGGCGTTCGCCCAGCGTTCCCAAAGGCTCAGCAACCAGCCAGACAGAAAACCCATAAATAACAGACCCTGGAAGAACGCGGCCTCTGTTCTGTGGTGAAGTGCCCAGCCTGGAGGTGAGCGCCTTGCTCTCCCCGGCCAGACTCACTGTTGTCAGCTGGAGAAAGCTACACCCAGCTTTGAGTTCTGGAAGATTTTTCATCCTCCTCAATCTTTCACGGGGAGATATCAGAGGAACGTGTCTCCCTCAGTGTCATGTGCCCAGAAAAATCATTTAACTGTCCCCAGTCAGGGGGGAGAAGCTGCCCTGCCCTAAACACTTTCCCCCTGCCAAGTCCGAGGCCACTTCATCCACCTGTTCATTCACCCATTCATTCCGTCAGCAAGCATCCACGGAGCGCTCTGTGTGGAGACCCAAAGGTGGTCCCTGCCGCGGGATCTCACCGTGCAGCTTGGAGGGAGACGAAGTATAGTCGGATCAGAGCCACCATTGACTTGCATGGGATCGTCTGGCCCAGCTCAAGTGAACGGGGGGCCTAGAAAGGGC